AGATTCGGCAAAAGTCCATTTTACATGTGGACGGCTCATGACACAACTCCTCTCACAAAATAGCTGGCGATGACATTTGACCATTTTCATTAAGCATCTAATTTTTTCCTCTGCTCAGCTGGAGATCTGTTTCTGAATTACAATCCCCAGCAGGACAGATGATACAGGAAAATATTAGGCTGCCGGCACACAGAAATTTTTTCCCTTCACTCTGAGATTCCATTAAAGCATCTCTGGCTCTTTATTGGCAGTTTTTATAATAGGCATTTTCATATTATTTGAAGAAAAGGGAAAACTAGCTGAAACAAAGCTTTGTTGTGGTCTTTTGTCTTGTAGCATAAAAATGATAATGGAAAAGAGAATATATTATTTCATTCAGCCAAAGCAACATCACGTTTGCGACCTGATCAGCTGAATAGTTTAGAGACAGTGTTTCTTTCTTCATTCCCATATTTTTAGGGCACCTACAATGTGTTATTCAGTATGAAAGAAGTGGTATATAAAGGTGACAAGAGCAGGGACCTTGCTTTGAATAAACTCATCATCTAGTGTGGGATATGTATATATATATTTGAGATGACAAGTAGCCAGTTGGGTACACGTGAGTTTGGTGCTCATATGAAAGACTGGGCTGAAAGACTGGGTACCATCAGCCTATAGGTGAAAATTAGGGCCCAAGGGGTAGAGGAGATTATAGAAAAGAATAAGGAAAACAAAACAATTTATCCTTACGACAATTACTTCAAATATTCAGATAATTTTCTCTTTTAAATTAATCTTATTTTATTTTTCTAATAATGCAAGTAATAGGTACATTCTACATAAAATTCTGAACATTTTCTTAATGTTCCTTTAAAAAAAATTTATGTGATTTTTCATTAACAACCATTGCTCTGAGAAGAAAATGTTCTTGAGTCATCCCGTATTGGGGCTTTGAACACAAAACAAATGTAAAACACCTCCTGCTCTGTTGTCTTCAGTGAAGGCCAAACAAAAGTAATCAGCTTGAATCCACCCCTCATTAAATGAAAGCCCAGCTGTGTTCCTGTCCACCCAGGGAGCTGGGAGCTAGCGGCAGGATGCGCTGCTTACTCTGTGATGGAGGAATACTGGGGCTCTTTGTGCTGCTGACACCTTGGCAGGGAAGGCTGGTATTAGAGGAGAAAGCCTATGATTACTTTAAGTACAGACATTTTCTCTTCAGTGGCATTACTAAAAATGAACTGCAAAGTGACCACCATGGCACTGTCAGGATTCCATCTTCACCTACCCCACCTCAGATGCAGCAGCTCGTGATAAGAACGAAGACTGCTCTGTACCCTCTTCACTGCACAGGAGTGCTGAGGTCTGTGACAGGTGGTCACTTCAAAAGAAAGACAATTCTGAAAGGTTTTTCACAGTAACCAAGTGTAAGCTCTGTACCTGTGCCCCATCTCTCTCCCTCTGCCTTCCCCAGCCCCTGTTCAGATCTGGAAGGAGTTCAGTAATGGCAGGTAAGCCAACAAGCAGATTCAGTCCGGGGACAAGACACCGGAAAAGCTGAGCATCAACCCCAAGCCAATAGGAGAAGTCAAGCTCCAAGCTAAGAGCCCCTAAAGGTATTAGTCTGACCCTGAGCAAATCATCAGTGTCGGTACTATGGGTGGTACATGGTGAGCTGGGAATATCTATTCCTCACTTATTTCTAAGACTGTGTTCATTTCCCTTGCATTTCGGGAGGAAGAAAGGACCTGGTATTCTCTTTCCAGACCCTTAGTCTGTTGTTTTTATAAATCTTGTTGACTCTCTCAGCTGAGACAGAGATAAAGATATACGACTTTCTTTTGACGTTTTATCCCTTGCTGCCTTCTTTATACCCGGCTTTGGGTTTAGCCACTTATCTTCAGTAACTCTGTTTTTCTGCAACTCTATTTTGTCATTCTTCATAGACCTAACATTTCTTGGATTTTAACGTTGGTGACTCCTTAGTACTATATAATGTTATCCTGTATTTTTATGAGCGTGTTTTGTCCAGTTGTCATTAACACTGCAGAGGTTTACTGTTTATCATAAATCATAGCAGGCAAGGCCGACATAAACTTTCTTCTTTAACTTCCAGAAAATCTGTGTGAGTATGTAAGTTAAAATATAACAACAAATAGGAAACATGGCCAGTCTGAAAATGACTGCAAAACCCTGAAAGATTTTGGTTCTTGGCCAGAATTTATTGTATGGGAAACCTTGAATTTCCCCACCTCCGGTTTTTTCCTTGCCTTTCCTGGGGTTTCAGATTGCAGACTATTATAATGTCAGTACACAGAGCTCATGGTAAGTTAGTTGGAAGAAGCTGCTTTAATCCTGACAATTTCACCCTACCTTTACCATCCTCAATCTTAGATCCATCTCTCCTCTTCCCACACTTTCCCTTATTCCTATTTTTCTACATTACTGCCTCCCACCCCCCGCCAATATATTCCTCTTAAAGAGACCAAGAGGGAATAAAACAAGAGAAAACAAATGCTGACCTCCAAAAAAGGTCTTAGAGTTTTCTGACTCATTGACATTCAAGGAAAAAAAAAATCAATAGGACACCTCCTCTATCCTTTTAAATCCTACCCTACTACTGGGATTGGACTGATTTCCAACTCTGAAAAGCCTTCAGAGAATATTCAGAAACTCTGTGAACATGAGTAGGAGAATTTTGATAGATTAAGAACAAATGTTAACAGTCAAGCCGTTCCAAAAATGTTCTGCTTTCTTTCTCTAGGAATTTTTCAGTTGAATGGCCTTTAAAAGATACAATTAAATGTATAACACTTCTGACCTCTGGAAATTGGGGTCTTTTTTGGAGTCACTTTTCAGAATAAGCCTCTTCTTTAACCAGAAAGTGGTGCTTCCAACAGCAAACTGGGAAAACTAATATTTGGAAAGCAAACACCTTGGGAAGCAAAGCTCTAATGCCTGTAATTAATTCATGTTGTTTATTGTAATCTAAGCAGGACCTGACTAAACACTGTGTGTGTGTGTGTGTATGTGTAAGAGGATTGAGTAGAATGTACCCTCTTTTTTTTTTTTAAGAGGAGTTAAAATAAATTACAGGAAGATTTGTTTCACTACCAGAAAAGATTAATTTGGAAAACATTTTTGACACATTGCTCATAATTAAAGTAATTCTTCATATTCTCTGTTTCCTTTAAGTAAAAACTGTGGCTTTATTTAACCTTTCATCAATTAACTCTCTTAAAGCAAAATAACAGTGAACTCCATAAACACTTTCACTTAATTCTCAATTGACAGAAAAAAAAAGCAATGGTTGCCCCTTGACTGCAGGGACTCCAGCATTATTGCAGCTCTAGAGTCAGATGCCCTGTGTGCATCCACCTCCAGTCTTCCACTTTTATTGACAAGGGTTTTGACTTTGAAATTCTGCCTTCCACATTTCACCAATGGACATAACCATGCCATTCTATTAAAACTATGTTGTTAGAATTGTTTGCACAGGAACATTCTTCATCCAACAAATATGTTTTAGTTTCCTTTGTGCTAGGCATTGAGGACACGATAATGAGCAAAATAAAAACATGGTCACTTTTTTCAAAGGGTTTATAATCTGGTGAAGAGAGAAATTAACCTAATATCTAAAATAATTACAAATAGTAAAAAAGTATTACAAGGAAAAATACCAAGTGTTATGAGAATGCCTCATTAGGAAATTGGATTTATTTATTTCATCTATCTATCTATCTATCTGTCTGTCTGTCTGTCTATCTATTTATATCTATCTATCTATATCTATTTATCTATATCTATCTATCTATCTGTATATCATCTATCTATTTATCAGCTACAGGGCAAGGAGGTGTTGGAGTAAGTTTGTCAGAAAATCCTTCCTAAAGAAATGTCTGAACTAAGATCTGAAGGATGACTGGTATGTTCATACAATTAAAAATGAATGAGCAAGAACAATATGTATCAAAAATGGAAATCAAGAATTCCAACCACTCTGGATTTAAATTGGGTGGATGCTATAAAGAAGAGCAGAGCTTTTGTGAATATCCAGCCACTCTGCAAGTGATGCCTTTACCTTCAAAACTGATTCTGAAGTGAGAGAGTTGTGGTTACATTTTGGCCGCAGGCAGGACAGGGAAGAAGAGAAAGACATTCTAATCCCTGAACCACTTTTTAAGCCTAAACTGGCAACAGAAGTTTTGAGCGCTCTATGCATGTAATTTATGGGAACTAGAAGAAGATAGCCAAAGCACCCCCAATCTTCAGGTTTTTTAAATTATTAATGAAAGAGGCTAGAATTAAATTATTTATTTGACACAACTGGTCCACTCTCATAGGCCTAATTACTTCATCAATTCCTCTCCTCCTCAGCTTTGCTTGCTGTGGTGCTTTCATCTGTCTGTGACGGGGCAACTCGTTTCTAATCCTGGGACCAGAGAACTCAACCACAGGGCCAGGGAGAGATCCACCTGTTTTCATTCACTTGATGTATTATAATTTAAAGTATTGTTAAATGAAGAAAGCTAAACTCATTCTAGTGTGATTAAAAGAAAATAATTAAACCCAAATGGCAATATTTTATTAGTATTTTGTGTTACTGTTCTAATATTATATGTCTCTAATGTTGGCCATTAGTACCCCTCCCCTGCCAAAATATAGGTAACAGTTGTTGTTACTTATTATATAAAAAAACTCAACTTGAGATCACAAACATGATTACAACATTAAATAGTCATATTTTGATTAATCTATGTCCCAGATTAGAGTCTAAACTCTTGGATAGTGGTCCCATTCCAGCATGTACCAACCACAGTTGACATAACGAGCCATCACAGAAGACTTAAAAAACATAGTAAAGGGCAAGAATACTTTTTCAATAGTAAAGGGCAAGAATACTTTTTTTGTCACAAAAAATAAACATAAGTAACACGGAGAAATTAAGACTACATTTTTTTTCTAAGTTTGAGTGATATGGATATAATTATCAGTGGGACATTTATTTCTTTCTCTTTTTAGATATAGAATGCTTTATGACTTTTCATGTCATCCTTGCACAGGGCCATGCTAATCTTCCTCATACAGTTCCAATTTTAGTATACGCACTGCTGAAGTGAAGCGAAGAGTGGGATCTTTATTTTCACTCAGTGCCTGTATAGAATAGGCCATCAGTAAGTGCATTTTCAGTGGATAAAAGTGATTCATATACTGATACCCCCTTGACTTAAGGCTTAGTATTTTCTCATTACCCTATTATATATAAGTGAATTAGTAAACTTTTCTTCTTTTGATTTTAGTTTATTTTTGGTCAAAATATGTTATTGGTAAACCGATCCTTTAAAAAAAAAAAACCTGAATCACAAGATGACTAATGGAAAAAGACGTGAGCCCTTTTCCAAAATGTGAGTGAAGGAGCTTTTAGATTAGTGGATGGTGAAAGGTTCAAAGGCAAAACCAGTGCTAGCTTACAGCAGATACCTTCCAGGTACCCCCTCTCTTTCTCTTTACCTCCTCTCTTGCTTCCTTTTTCCTATATGACTAGCCTAAAAATCAAGGAAATTTCTATGTATAAAAATAAGTTAGTCACTTTTGGATAAATATATCTTTAAAACTGCAAGCTGAGCAGACCTAAGTTTTGCTAAATCAATCCACATGTCAGCCATTACATATTGGCCACAAACTTATTTTTGCCAGGTAAAAAGTACAGGCTAGAAGGGACAATTTAAGAAGTAAGTAAGTAAGTCAAGGGCTTTTGTTCTAACTAATAGAGGTGGTGAATAGATTTGAAGCAACCCTTGTCCGGGATTAGGAAAATGGGCAAGACATTCATGTTTAGGGAAAATTTCACTTGGCATCTGGCCATGGTTATTTTGGGCCCAATCATGTTAAACTTCAATCAGAGTGTGTAACGTCCCTGTAGAATTTAAAATCTGTAGCGCAATCATAACTATTTGTCTAGTGGATATACACTAGAGGAAGACAAGACAATCTACTTCAAGTATCTAACAAAGACTCTGTCACCTTTACTTCCCTCACAGTTTGAGTCCGCGTATTTCTACCTATCTACATTTATAATAACATGGTGAAAAATAGCTTAAGTTCTTAATAAATTAATAAAATAGGTTGAATGTAATACTGACTTTATTTGAATATTTATTTTCAACCAAATAGATTCCTTTCGCCAACTGACATAGCTGACAGCAAAGATAGTTTCCAGTTTCAACACGTTTACTTGTTCAGTTTTGTCTTTGAGCCTGAGGTTTGCCCTGACACAACGAACAAACACCTAGGGGTTCAGAGAACAAGAGATATGCTTGGGAAAAGACAAGTCTGAAAATTGCTATTTATTTTAAAAGGGCGAGTTGAGGTTATGGATCTGTGTTTGAGAGAGATACATCAATCATGTATGCAGAAGAAACATTATTCTGTACAATTGGTACTTTGCAAAGCAAATGAAAATATTATCATTTCAAAGTTTGGAATTTTTATAATTAAAGGTTCTTTATTTAAGTAAATGAGCTTTTCTTAAATAAAAAAAGAATCTGATAATGACATCCATATCCTTTCAGTTCATTTACATGTATGTGAAGAATTACCATCTCTTTAACTCTAGTGGGACTCAGGTACTTTAGAGACCTTTACATACTGATTTTATCTGCTCTGTTTCCTCTTAAAGTATTTATCAGAAGACACTGGCTTGTTAATTAATCTGCCTCTTTCTCTTCTATGCCCTACAGTGGGATTCTCAAAGGAAGGTCCAAGTACCATCTGCATTTGAGTAAAATGCAGAATTTATTACAATGCAGATTCCTGGGTTAATTGAAGATCCATTATAGCACAATGAGACAGAAAACCAAAGAGGAAAATGTGAGATCTAGCACTCAGATGATCCAGTTCCGGAGAGGACTGTGCAGCGATTCATACTGGGAGCAGGATAATGGAAGGCTTGGGAAAAGGTTTCAGAGGGGAAAAAAAGACATTTAATAGCACTCTTAATAAAAGAATTTAGGAGACAGAAAAGGCAAGCAATGTAAGGGGGGTCAGGGGGAAACAATTAGGGACTCTAAGGAACAAATAAACCAAATAAGAAACTAAATGTAATCATAGGACACTATTTGACGTTGGAATGGAAACTATTTATATTGTCAGTGGAAGGTACATGGTCGTTAATGATTTTCAAAAAGAGAGAGTATTACACAATTGTTAGGAACACAGGTCCTGAAATTCTTTTTTTTTTTTTTTTTTTTTGAGCACTTGATTTTATTGATGATACAAACTATGCTTTTAATCATCTTTGGTTGTGGACCAGACACTGGAAGGATGGACCAGGAGGCCTTGCCATATTCCTTATGCCTACAGAGGATGGGAGCCTATCATGCCGGACAAGGTGGTGACGCGGATTGCCATCTAAAATTCTTACAGGCTTTATGAATCCAGAAATTTACTTAATTTCTATGCTACTCAATTTTCTTTCTGTAAGATAAGAATAATAATAGCTATCTATTTTATAGTCTTGTTGTGAGGCTTCAATGAGTTACTTTACAAAAAGTGCTTGTAACAGTGCTATACACAGTAAGTGCTATACACAGATGTTAGCTAAAACAACAAAAAATTACATATAAAAAATAGAAGAATTTATTGACATAGAACAAAAATGAAATGTTATTAAATTTGACAATATTAATGTATAAGTCCAGATGGCTAAAAGTGAGAACAAAGTAAAGAGATGCCGTTTATAGTTGATAGAAACAAAAATAAATAACCAAGGCAACTAAGAGAAAAACAAAATTTAGCAGCATAGTTATGTAAATGATTAAATCATAATCCATCACAACAGAAAGCTAATAAGAGATTGTGACTATAATTAATAAACCAAAAACTAACATGTAAGTTTATAACATAGAGATACTGGAGGAAACAGCGGAACCAAACAGAAAAAAGTGTTTCTCTTTAAGGATCAAAGAAGGTAAACATTTTTACCTTTAAATAGCTTACAAACTGATTTGTCAATGATATTTCAGTAAAGCTGGGAAAAAAAGGAAGGTAAAGGAGGATTTAGGGTGGATGGTGGGACCATAAGGTTATAATAAAGAAGTAAAGAAATAAAATTAATGCTGATATCTAAAATTCTTGCTAAGAATTTCAGGGAACTCCAGGAGCTTGGGGAATATGAAAATCATAAAGAAAGAATGCCAATTTCTGGACAAAATTGGGTCATTTAAAAATAATCTAGTAATTGACCATAAGAGACAAAGATAATGTTTACTTTTCTTGGTGATGTCAAGCAAAAATCATAGTACATCTGAAAGACAAGTGAGGCTTACTGTCAATCACTCTTTTTCATCCTCCACCCCTGGAAGTCAATAAGTATGGTTTGAGGAGGTGTTGAACTACTGACTTCAAGCTCTTTGGGAGTAGCTTTTGTTGTCCAGACAGCTCTTCTCCTGGTCTCTTTCTTTCCTGGCAGCTCTAAGATTTCTGCATCATTAGATTTCCTTTCTTGTGTTCCCAAAGGATGAGCACATTTGCAGTCAGTCCTGGAAACTTGATCTGTATCCTGAATCTCTGCTCAAAAGCCACTGGAGATGGATTATGTAGACACTCTTCTTTTATTAAGAAAATATGTGACACATACTTAAAATAGCAATGCTCACTTTGGTGAATTTTATCAATGCTTCTTAATCTGGACCTCACAGAACATGCATTTTTTGGCTGATTTCTGTATTCTTTGGTCATCATCTAAGACCTTAAAATTCATAATCTCATTAAGTTGTTTGCATTGGCTAGTAGTATCAATGATGAAAATACTTCATCTGCCAAAGCTGACCAGAGTTTCTCAGAAACTAGAAGGAAACCCCACCCTGGCAGCTTTCGTTGGATTCCTAGGAACCATATTCATTTATACATATATAAATCCCATATTCCTGCTTCTCTTCTAAATGGTACAGGAAAGTTCATATGAAATTTCTAACTTTAATGAAAGTTAAGAGTATAAAATAATGTGAGGTACTTTTGGAAGTAATCTCATCCGTGGCTTATGGCTCCATTCTCATTACTTTACAGCTACATTAAGTCACCTTACAGTCCCTTTCTTTTCTTTCCATCACATATGATTTAACTGATCTTTGTGCTTAAGAGAAACATGTGACTTCAATAGGAGATTTTAAAGGAGTATGATAGAAGGCACTGTTTTCTCCTGATCATTGTCTCCTGCCAGCTTCAAGGTTGGTAGTTTTTATGCTGGGGATGTAGCTCTTATGGAGTCAGGAGAAGAAATCTTAGGTTGGAGAGCCCAAGAGGCTACCACAGGCACTTTCAGAACAGAGGAAGAGCAAGGAAGGCAATGGTGACTGAAGCTCAGCAGGGGAGAGAGTCCCTGGAGGTGAGGTCAGAGAGGTACAGGGTATGGGGAGGTGAGGGGGTAGATTTCTTAGGGCCTGGAGATTTTGAAGGACCTTTAGTTTGGGAGAAATAGGAGGATATTGGAAAGTTTTAAGCAGAATGATATGAGGTTTTTAAAGAATTACTCTGTCTGCTCTTTTGAGGGTAGACTATATGGAGTAAGAGTGAAATAGGAAGGCCGAAGAAATAAAGCTCCTTCGATAAACCAGGCCATAGATGATGGCTGCTTGGACCAGGAAGGTGGTATTGAAAGAAATGAAAAGGGATTGGATTCTGGAACTATTTTGAAGATAAAACAATAGGATATCCTGATCATTTAAATGTTGGGATATAAGAGAGAGAGAAGAGGCAAGGATGACTCCAAGATCATGGCCCGAGCAACTGGAAGGATGGAATTGCCATTTGCTGACAGGTATGTCTGTCTTTGGGTAGAGCAAGTTGGTTTAGGAAAATTAGGAGTTCAGTGTAAGAAATACCAAATTTGAGAAATCTGTTACAAATACTAATAGAAAGTTGATATGAGTAACCAAAAAATAAATGTTTAACTTTTTTATATTTATTATAAAAATTGAAATCACGTAGACTAAATATCACACGATCAATTTATGGCCTGATGATAAACTTGAATCTTTCACATAAAAATGTTATGGCAGATCTTCTGTTTTTTTTGTAGTTTTGTTGAATGACAATATGAACATTTCTAAAAAGATCCCCA